TATATATATATATGGTCTAGTTCAAGACTTAGGAGCCATTAACAAGGTCATAATTCCCTTACATCCTATAGTGCCAAATCCTTATACTACACTTAACCAAATACCAGAAAACACCAATTAGTTCACAGTGTTAGATCATAAGAATGCTTTCTTTTGTATCCCTTTGCACCTCGACTCTCAGAATTTATTTTCTTTTGAGTAGACTAATCCTGAAACTACTATTACCCAATGGTACACCAGGACAATACTGCCTCATGACTTTAGGGATAGCCCTCGCTTGTTCAAAAATGCCTTGACACAAAAGTTAAGAAAGCCAGAGCTAAAAAGGAGAGCCACACTCCAGTATGTAAATAACATCTTTGTATACAGCCCCACTAAAGAGGACTCAGATAAAAATGCCATTCAAGTCCTAAACTTCCTTAAAAAAAAAAAAAAAAAAAAAATCAGTTCCCACCACCCAAGACCCAAATTTCTCAACCAAAAGTGAAATACCTGTAGTACATCCTAAACTCAGGAAACTGGACCTTGTCCATCAAACAAAAGTTTACTTAGAAGTAAAACCTCTGTAAACAAAAACAAAAACAAAAAACAAACAAAAAAAAAACTAAGAACTGTCCTGGGTATAGCAGGATTTTGCAGAATTGCTAAGCCATTGTATGAGGCCCTAACAGGGCCAAAACATAAGCCACTCAAATGATCAAAAAACAGGAGGCTTTATCTTCTAGCTAAACAAAGGGGTTTACACGGTAATAAACCACACCTGTTGTTCTTATATTAACAACTCAGGATTAATTAGACTGCCAGCTCAACAGACTTACCAACACGCTACCTGGCTACATAATTTCAATAAGCACACTGCTTAAACCATCTGGGACCCCATCAAAAAATACCTACCAAGTATGACAGTTCCTACCTTTCCTGGAAACTTGAATAACTCCAATTTCTACTAACCTTTGGTCCTTGCTTGTTTAACCTCCTTATAAAGTTTGTGTCTTCTGGATTATAGCAGTTCCATGTCAAAATAATGATCACAGAAAAATTCCAACCAATCCCTGCCTCGGATTCAGATTCTGCTAATAACCCACCCTTGGGACCTTTAAAACAGGCAGCCAGAAATTTCCATGCCCTAACTAGACATGGCCAAACCCAAATCAACAAAAAGTAAATATAAAACATTAACCCCCTCCCTCATCAACCCTTACAAATAAAGAAGAAAAATCTCTGAGGGCAGTCAAATGAGACAGGAATAATACACGGTGGGCGCAGGGAAATAAACAATTCCAGGCAGCAGCTTCACACGACTAGCAAAAGGAAACTGTTAAAACAGCTGCAGGGGCCAATAAGACCCTGAAAACCAAGATGTGGGCCAAGCTGGCTAAGACTGATGGGAACCAACAAAGCACTGGATTTGACTTAGGTTTCGCCTAAGACCTCATTATACACTCGTTAACATGCTAAATCACACACCCACCAGCGCTGTGACAGTTCTAGGAACACCCATATTTGGTATAAAAATGAGTGGTACTGGCTGGGCATGGTGGCTCACACCTGTAGTCCCAGCACTTTGGGAGGCTGAGGTGGGCGGATCATGAGGTCAGGAGTTCAAGCCCAGCCTAGCCAACACGGTAAAACCCCATCTCTACTAAAAATACAAAAATTAGCTGGGCATGGTGGCACGTGCTATAATCCCAGCTACTTGGGAGGCTGAGGCAGAACTGCTTGAACCAGGACCAGGAGGCAGAGGTTGCAGTGAGCCGAGATGGCACCACTGTACTCCAGCCTGGGCTACAGAGAGAGACTCCATCACGAAAAAGAAAAAAAGGATGGCACCACAGTTCCGAGAAATCTTTACCTTTTTCCAGAAATCTTCGTGAATATTCCACCCCTTGGTTAAAGAAACCCATAAAGATGGTAACTCTAAACCCCATGGTACA